AGCTGATTCCTCAATTCAACCTGTTTGGAGGCTTTCTGGGCTAGCACAGCTCTGATCACAGGCTTGCGCTTTTTGCTCCCCCTGAAGGGCGGCGAGGAGGCCGGACTCTGCCATTCTGCAGGCTCCGATACATGAAGTCTGCGCTGTGGCCTCGGTGGCCTGTGCCAGACAGCGTGACTGTCGCCCGCAGTGAACACTCGGCACAGCAGAGCAGGCTTGGGGAAGAACAGAAAGTGACCTCTAAGCCCGCAGAAGACGCTAAGCCATGCACGGGCTCAGGCGCACTGCGTGTCAATCACGCAGAAGCAGGAACGAGCTCTTAATAGTTCCAGTAAATGCAAAGGCCGCCCTGGAAAACTGTGTGAACCTTTCTGACTACTCACAGGTGGGGAGCCACTGCCTGAGACACGAAGGTAAAGAATTCACCTGAAACTGCATATTATAAAACTTATTTTTTAATGATGGCGCTTAATTTGAAAGACTCCCAAAGAATACTGCATTAGAAAGTGACAGAGTGAAACCGTGAAGCTGACCACAGGAGTCCCTGGAAATTTCACCAAATGTTGCATCAAAACTGGGAAACAGAAGAACCGCACCTGATGAAACATTCGATTAATCACTCGAGTCTTCCCCACATACGAAGCTATGTTAAAAAGTGTTCCAAAGGTGGAGAGGATATTTCTTCTGATTTCGCAGAGGATGTACACCACCCCTGCAATATGGTTCCTAACATCCAGGGGGCGAGAGGATGATATTAGTCTCAATATTGCAGGAGGTGTACACTCCCTAGTGACATTGTTCCTAATATCCAGGGAAGTAGAGGAAGATATCACACCCAATAGAGCAGGGAGTGTACACCCCTTCTGTGACATTGCTCCTAATAGCCAGCGGTGGAGAGGAAGATATCACTCCCAGTATTGCAGGGGATGTACACCCCCTTGTGATATGGTTCCCTATATCCTGGGAGGGAGACGATGATACTCGTGGCAATATCGCAGGGGGTGTACATATCCACTGTGATATTGTTCCGAATACCCAGAGAGAGAGAAAATGATGTGACTCCCAATATCACAGGGGGTGTACATCGTCCTGTGATATTGTTTCTTATATTCAGGGGGAGAGGATGATATTACTCCCAATATCGCAGTGGTTATACACACCTCCTGCGATATTGTTCCTAATATCCCGAAAGGGAGAACAACATATTTCTCTCCATATGGCAGGGGGTGTACACCTCCTTTGTAATATTGTTCTTAATATCCATGATGGGAGAGGATGATAGGACTCCCAATATCGCAAGAAGTGTACAGTAGTCTGTGATACAGTTCTTAACATCTAGGTGGGGAGAGGATGATATTACTGCTCATATCGCATGAGTTGTAAAACTCCTTTGATATTTTGCCTACAATCCTGAGGGGAGAGGGTGATATTGCTCCCAATATCGAAGAAGGCGTACACCCCCCTGTGACACTACACCCAATATCCACGTTGGAAGACGAAGACATTACGCCCAATATCGCAGGGGATGTACACCCAGAGTGCCACTCCATCTCCCTGGGGTTAGCTCCACATGCAGTAAGGCCATTGTGTCTAAGGCCATCAAGACTTGCAGTCCGAAGATTAGACTTTTGACATGCTGATAAGCAGCGGTGATAAGAAAAGCCCACACACTGGCTAGGAATTTTTCAAAGAAAGCAGCTGAGATGCTTCTTCATACGCTTCGGTAGGGGCTAATATCAAACTCTTTCTTCCCATTTTCTTTACTCAGTGCCTGAACCATGAGGCACCATAGAAGTACACCTCATCAGGAGGGTGTATGGGAAGCAGCAAGGGGAGCAGCAGCACAAGAAACAAACAAGGCCACTACTTCTTCCTACATAATAACTATTGTCTTGTAGTATACAATAATTAATAATGTTCACATGGCTGCCCTAAGCATACAGAGATGGTGACCAGAGTAGATGCAGGGACTACAGAGATACCACCTGATTCTTGCTAATTAGGACTTAAGTGTTGGCTTATGTGCTGTGCTTTTGTGCATTAATAAGCTGGGGCCTCAAAACTGCCTGCTAAGCAGAGGCCAAATGTCATGCTGGGGTGCAATTAAACATTCATGTGTAGGAGATGAGAGCATTTTAGTGTGAGAGAAGATGACAACACCTGAAGACCACAAAACACTGTGCAGACCAAAGGGAAGGCCCATCGTCAGCTCATGGTTCTGACCCAGGTGACTGCTGATGTGTTACGGAACCGTCAGCCAACAGCAGGTAGGTCAAGTTGAGCAGGTGTCCTGTATGAGGGCTGGTCCATTCCATTTGTGTTGCCAATTGTTTCAATAGAGTCTCATGCACCCCACTGGTGAGGAAGGAATTAGCACCCTACGTTTACTGGCATCGTTAAACACATAACATCTATTACCAAACAGATAAGCCAGACATCAGTTACTATTTACATATAGGAGGATGGTGTAAGCTCCCACAGGCCCAAACAGGGATTAACTTGGGAGCAGAGAATAGTATAGCATAAAAAAGTGAGGATGTTCCTTTTTTTTTTTTTTTTTTTTTTTAGACAGAATCTCGCTCTGTCACCCTTGCTGGAGTGCACTGGTGTGATCCTGGCTCACTGCAAGCTCCATCTCCCGGGTTCATGCCATTCTCCTGCCTCAGCCTCCCTAGAAGCTGGGACTACAGGGGCCCACCACCACGTCCGGCTAATTTTTTGTATTTTTAGTAGAGACGGGGTTTCACCATGTTAGCCAGGATGGTCTCGATCTCCTGACCTCGTGATCCGCCCGCGTCGGCCTCCTGAAGTGCTGGGATTACAGGCGTGAGCCACCGCGCCCAGCCGAGGATGTTCTTTTGTTCCCACAGGAGTATGCAATTGGTTTATCTGCTGGCTGGTGGGGAACTGAATCATATGACACTGACTGGTAAGACTGTAACATTGTAAAATACAATAGATAAACTATAATACCATAATGGTGTAACATCGATGAAAATCCCAAAGCTATCATATGTGACTGAGAGACCGAATGCTTCCTCCCTCAGATTGGTTACAACGTATTGTCCTATCACAGTTCTCTCTCCTTCATTCAAAGTGAATGATCCAAATAACAGAAATAAAAATAAAGGGCAACAAATACAAAGAACTCATGAGATGATACTCTATGGTAAACTTTATGTACTTAGGAATTAATACCAACTCATTATTAGCAAAAAATAAACATCTTTACATCAAGAGTCGTTTTTCCTTTAATAAAAAAAGGTGGAATGTGTATAATGGACAAAGGATAATCAAAATTTGCCAAATGAGGCTAGTAAGACAATTCCAACAATTCACAATCATTATTCACTGGTCCATTAATCACAGGACAATACATACAAATCAAACTTACCTGGCCGGGCGCAGTGGCTCATGCCTGCAATCCCAGCACTTTGGGAGGTGGAGGCGGGCAAATCATGAGGTCAGGAGTTCAAGACCAGCCTAGCCAACATGGCGAAACTCTGTCTCTACTAAAAATACAAAGAATTAGCTGGACATAGTGGTGGGCGCCTGTAGTCCCAGCTACTCAGGAGGTTGAGGCAGGAGAATCGCTTAAACCCAGGAGGCGGAGGTTGCAGTGAGCCGAGATCGCACCACTGCAGTCCAGCCTGGGCAACAAAGTGAGACTCCATCTCAAAAAATAATAATAATGAAATAAAAAAATTAAACTTATCTACATATAGAAAAACATCAAAATTCAACCATGAATCCAGCACATTATCAAATGAATAGACAAAAATTCTACCAACAAACTTAAGAAAATATCATTATCTATGAAATTCAAGTACTGGCTTAAAGAGCATTTACAGAACTCTCATCTCAAGGTTTCCCTGCAAAACAAGGTGAAATGCATACTCAAGACTCTTTAAGAATGAGCCACTGATAAAAACAATATACTTGTAACTTTGTAACTTGTGTAACATTTCATACATTTTTTTCAAGCACTGCATGATAATTAATTTGCATCAGGCTTTCCAAATTAGAAAAGCTTCACTGATAGAACTTCTTTCCCGTGGGAGTTTTCACATGACGTTTCAAGTAAATGTTAAAACTGAAAATATTCTTGCAGTTTCTAAACTATTAGAGTTTTAATCCTGTGTACCTTCTTGTGTTTACAAGGTCCAGCCAGCTACAATGTGCATTTTCATATGTCCTTGAGTGGGTATGAGAGAAATGAAACATTCCCACATTCTGGACATTCATAGGGTTTTTCTCAGGAAGGAGCTGATGTCTTCAAATGGAACTAACACAACTGAAGGCCTTACCACAAATTTAAATTCAAAAAGCTTTTCTCCACTCTGAGTCCTCCCAAATCTTCAAAAACAGGAAAATCGGAAGGCTTGGCCACATTTCCTACATTCTTAAGGTTTCTGTGCAGTGTGAGTTCTTTCATGTTTATGAGGGAATGGGAAAGAGTAAATGTTTTATCACATTTCTTACATTCAAGGGGCTTTATTTATTTATTTATTTATTTATTTAGAAATGGAGTCTCACTCTGTCGCCAGGCTGGAGTGCAGTGGCAAAATCTAGGCTCACTGCAACCTCTGCCTCCTGGGTTCAAGTGATTCTCCTGCCTCAGCCTCCTGAGTAGCTGGGGTTACAAGCGTATGCTACCACACCCAGCTAATTTTTGTATTTTTAGGAGAGACGAGGTTTCACCATGTTGGCCAGGATGGTCTCAATCTCCTGACCTCGTGATCCGCATGCACAGGGCTTCCCCTCAATCCCCCGTGGCTTTTTATGTCCTTGAAAAAGAACTAAGACAACTGAAATGTGCCACCATGCCCAGCTAATTATTTTCTTTTTCTTTTTTTTTTTTTTTGAGACAGAGTCTTGTTCTGTCGCCCAGGCTGGAGTGCAGTGTTGCGATCTCGGGTCACTGCAAGCTCCGCCTCCCGGGTTCACGCCATTCTCCTGCCTCAGCCTCCCAAGTAGCTGGCGTGAGCCACCGCGCCCGGCATTATTTCGTTTTTTGTAGAGACAGGGTTTCACCATGTTGCCCAGGTTGTTTCACATTGTTTTAATCCAGGCTGGTTGTGAACTCCTGGGCTCAAGCAATACACACACCTTGGCCTCCCAAAGTGCTGGGATTATAGGCTAAGTCACTACACCCAGCCTCTATATCATGACTTCTTTCATGGCGAGTAAGGTGACTGGAACGAGTGTAGGCTTTACCGCATCTCTTACATTCATAGGGTTTTTCTCCAGTATGAATTCTTTCATGGAGGTGAAGGGAACTGAGGCGACTGAAGGCTTGGTCACATTGTTTACATTCATAGGGTTTCTCTCCACTATGAGTACCTCTATGGTTACAAAGGGAACTCAAACGACTAAAGGCTTTGCCACATTGTTTACATTCATAGGGTCTCTCTCCAGTATGAATGCTTCCATGGTAATGAAGGGAAGTGGAACAGCTGAAGGCTTTATCACATTTGGTACATTTATAGGGTCTTTCTCCAGTGTGAGTCCTTTCATGCGTCTTAAAAGAACAAGAAAATCTGAATGTTTTCCCACATTCCTTACATTCGTAGGGTTTCTCTCCAGTGTGAGTTCGTTCATGTATTAGACAAGAACCGGAAACAGTGAATGCTTTACCACATTGTTTACATTTATAGGGTTTTTCTCCTGTGTGAGTTCTCTGATGTCTTTCAGCTGAATTGAGAAAATAAAAAGCTTTCCCACATATCGTACATTTATAAGCTGGATTTCCACTGTGCATTATCATGTATCTTCTAACACCTGGAACAGAAACAAAGAATTCCCCACACTGTTCACATTTATATTGTTTCTCTCCATATGGTTTGTATCCTGAGTAAGCTAGGATGTGCCTATTAAGGAGGGAATGACGTACAAAGACTTTTCCACAAATACTGCATTCACATTGTTTTAATCCAGTAGAAATGTTCTCATTCAGATCAAGATTTGGAATTTGGCTGACAACTTGTCCATCATACTGACTACCTTCTTTGCTTTCATACAGACTCTGTACCATATGATTTCTGTAAAAAAAATGACAAACACATTATTATTGGTTGGTTTAATAACTTTGTACTTATTAATAGGTCTTGGACTTACACTGCTATCAATACCAGGGAAAATGCCTTTTTTTTTTTTTTTTTTTTTTTTTGCCATGACTGAAATATTTGAAAGTAAATGGGTTACTACTGAAAACACAGCTACCACCTGCATGGCTATGACCAAAATAGTAAGATTCAGATACACAATTTTGTAGTACTATTTTCAAGTAAACTGTTTTCCAAACACTGACTGCTACACTGAAGTACGTTACATTTTGGGTGAAATTTTTCTAAAAAGAAACAAATTTCAAGTGACTCTTATTTGCTTTGATTGCTTGTTTTTAAGTTCATGACATGCTAAGATTCCTTCAGAGGACTTTACTTCCTCTTCTCAGTGCAAATTATCTTATATCTTTCCCAGGTTTTTCGAAGTGATCTTCAATATTCTAGTCTTTCCATTTGTTTCCTAAAATGTAGACCCACAAAATTATCATGAATTATTACAAACCATAGAAACATTACTAGATTTAATGTTTATTGTACACAGTGCCCATGCCTGATTTCTTCACCAAATCATTCCCTTGCCACATTCCAAATCACAAATAGCACTGATGATAGGGAAATACTTCTGTAATTACATGAAATGTGTTGTCATTCTTACCTACAGAAGCCAGGTTCCAGCAGGTTTCCTGCATCACTTCTCTGAAGAGATTCTTCTGAGAAGAATCTAGCAAAGCCCATTCCTCCTGGGTAAAGTTCACAGCCATATCCTCAAAAGCCACGGAGTCCTAGAACATTCCACACATGTGGATAGAAGGATGGGTGAGACTGACAGCACTGGGAATCTATACTCAATTCATAAGCTGTTTACATGATTCTAAAATTTCCAAGCATTTATTCTATGATTTGATTGTCACAACTTTTACTCTGTTCACACATACTCCCTCCCACACAGCAGTACTAAAGCTAAAATTGAACTATTAAAAAAGGCAACAGCAAAGTAGAAACACCCATCTCATTAGAGAATCCGGGGGTAAGATGTGCTGCTAGGAGTTACCTTTTAACTTCACTTTGTACATTTCTAGTATCTGCCATAATAAAGTCCTACCTGATGTGCATAAGTGAGTTAATATTATCATTACTGAAACTACTTATTCTTAAAAACACCTGCTCACAAAGTTCAATCTTTGTATTAGTAACTTACATTTTGAAAGGGATTCCACCAACCCAAGTAATAAGAATGACTCATTGCATCTAAATGGCTTATGCAATATATTTGTCAAAACTTTTTCTGCTGAAGGTCTATTATTTTGTGTCACTGCAGTGGGGCTTAGGGAACCAGACACCAAAACACAGTCTGAACACTAAGTGTTCAATGAGTTTCCCTGGTAGACAATCTTTTACATGTGCTGTCACTTGTTAACTGGGGAGTTGAGCCCATTCCATGTGATTACACCAAGAGAGAATAGGCTTATTAAATTTAATTGAGTAGTAAATAAAATCAATAATTGATTAATTTAACAATACTAATACAACAATTTTTAAAATTTCTATTGCACAATGTCAAGGCAGAAAGGAATAAGAGGAAATATGACACCTGTTTTTTAAAATGACATTAATGTCACCACTTCCAGATGCTATTCCCATGAAATCACATAAATTCCCAAATCAGGTTGTTTTAAGCAAGAAAAACTACTTTTTCTTACATAGTAAAAATGACAAATGTCTAATGATTTTTAGTCATCTAAAAAAAGAGTGATGGTTTGTCTAACATACTTCTAAGATTTTCAAACGAAAATATTCAGGACAGCACCGTATTAGCAGAGAGATGAGCAAGCAGACCAAGGGAAAAAAAAGTCTTAATGACCCAGCATTTATATGGAAAGTTGATGAATGATAGAGTAGGCACTGTAGAATAGAAAAAGAAATCACATGCACTTTAAAATATGAGGCAAACCAGGCTGGCATCTACTTGGGAAAATGTATTGCATTCTTCTCTATTCCATGAACAATAATCAACTTATTATATATTCAAATATGAAAGATAAAACTAGAACACTTTCAGAAGTCACAGGAAGACTTTTTTTTACGAAGGATTAGGCAGAATTTTTTTTATGTAAGAAAAAAATAACAAAGTAACAGACAAACTCAAACATATTAAAATTTAGGGAATAAAAAGAAAATAGAGTGGGCCGGCCATAGTGGCTCACGCCTGTAATCCCAGCACCTTGGGAGGCTGCACCTTGGGAGGCTGAGGTGGGCGATCACCTGAGGTCGGGAGGTTGAGACCAGCCTGGCCAACATGGCAAAACCCTGTCTTTTTGTTGTTTGTTTGTTTGTTTTCTGAGACAGAGTCTCGCATTGTCACTTGGGCTGGGGTGCAGTGGCAAGATCTTGGCTCACTGCAACTTCCACCTCCCAGGTTCAAGCAATTCTCTTGCCTCAGCCTCCCGAGTAGCTGGGATTACAGGTGCATGCCACCATGATCAGCTAATTTTTTTGTATTTTTAATAGAGACAGGGTTTCACCACGTTGGCCAGGCTGCTCTGGAACTCCTGACCTCATGATCCGCCCACCTTGGCCTCCCGAAGTGCTGGGATTACAGGCATAAGCCACCGTGCCAGGCCTAAAACCCCGTTTTTACTAAAAATACAAAAATTCGCTGGATGTGGTCGTGGGTGCCTATAATCCCAGTTAATCGGGAGGCTGACACAGGAGAATCACTTGAACCCGGGAGGCGGAGGTTGCAGTAAGCAGAGAAGGCACCACTGCACTCCAGCCCAGCTACAGAGCAAGACAGCGTCTCCAGAAAAACAAAAAACAACAACAAAAAAACCCTCAGATATCCAGATAAGAGGATACAGATGTGTCCACTGTCATAAACTCTTCACCATACTACAAGAGGGGAACTGACATTTTGGTGAATATTTGTAAATCATCAATTTATCTATCACACTTTTATTTCACCAGTAGCATTTACAAAGCTAAGTTCTACAATTCCGTTTGAAATTACCCTTAAAAAGAACAGACTTTGGCCGGGCGCGGTGGCTCAAGCCTGTAATCCCAGTGCTTTGGGAGGCCGAGACGGGCGGATCACAAGGTCAGGAGATCGAGACCATCCTGGCTAACACGGTGAAACCCTGTCTCTACTAAAAAAATACAAAAAAACTAGCCAGGCGAGATGGCGGGCACCTGTAGTCCCAGCTACTCGGGAGGTCTGAGGCAGGAGAATGGCGTGAATCCAGGAGGCAGAGCTTGCAGTGAGCTGAGATCCGGCCACTGCACTCCAGCCTGGGCGACAGAGTGAGACTCCGTCTCAAAAACAAAACAAAACAAAACAAAAAAAGAACACACCTTTAGATTCCGGAGCAAGATGGCCAAATAGGAGCAGCTGCAGCCTCCAGCTCCCAGCACCAGCGACACAGAGGACAGGTGATTTCTGCATTTTCAACGGAGGTACTGGGTTCATCTCACTGGGGAGTGCCAGACAATTGGTGCTGATCAGCTGGTGCAGCCCAACCAGCGAGAGTTGAAGCAGGGCGAGCCATCGCCTCGCCTGGGAAGCACAAGGGGGAAGTCAATCCCTCTTCCTAGCCAAGGGAAACTGAGACACACCACATCTGGAAAATTGGTTAACTGCCACCCTAATACTGCGCTTTACCAAGGGTCTTAGCAAATGGCACACCAGGAGATTATATCCCACACCTGGATGGGAGGGTCCCATGCCCAGGGAGCCTCCCTCCTTGCTAGCACAGCAGTCTGAGATCTAACTGCAAGGCAGCAGTGAGACTGGGGGAGGGGCACCCACCATTGCTGAGGCTTAAGTAGGTAAACAAAGCTGCAGAGAAGCTCAAACTGGGTGGAGCCTACCGCAGCTCAAGGGGGCCTGCCTGTCTCTGTAGACTCCATCTCTGGGGACAGGGCATAGCTAAACAAAAAGCAGCAGAAACCTCGGCAGAGGTAAATGACCCTGACAGCTTTGAAGAGACCAGTGGATCTCCCAGCACGGAGGTTGAGATCTGAGAACAGACAGACTCCCTGCTTAAGTGGGTCCCTGACCCCTGAGTAGCCTAACTGGGAGACATCCCCCACTGGGTGCAGACCGACACCTCACACCTTACACACGGCAGGGTACACCCCTGAGACGAAGCTTCCAGAGCAAGAATCAGACAGCAACACTCACTGTTCAGCAATATTCTTCTTCTGCAGCCTCCACTGCTGATACCCAGGCAAACAGGGTCTGGAGTGGACCTCAAGCAATCGCCAACAGACCTACAGCTGAGGGTCCTGACTGTTAGAAGGAAAACTAACAAACAGAAAGGACACCCACACCAAAACCCCATCGGTTCGTCACCATCATCAAAGACCAAAGGCAGATAAAACCACAAAGATAGGAAAAAAGCAGGGCAGAAAAGCTGGAAATTCAAAAAATCAGAGCACATCTCCCTCTCCAAAGGAATGCAGCTCATCGTCAGCAATGGAACAAAGCTGGATGGAGAATGACTTTGACGAGTTGAGAGAAGAAGGCTTCAGTCAATCAAAATTCTCAGAGCTAAAGGAGGAACTATGTAACCAGTGCAAAGAAACTAAAAATCTTGAAAAAAGAATGGAAGAATGGATAACTAGAATAATCAATGCAGAGAAGGCCATAAACGAACTGACAGAGATAAAAACCATGACACAAGAAATACGTGACAAATGTACAAGCTTCAGTAACTGACTCGATCAACTGGAAGAAAGAGTATCAATGATTGAAGATCAAGTGAATGAAATGAAGCGAGAAGAGAAGTCTAGAGAAAAAAGAGGAAAAAGAAATGAACAAAGCCTCCAAGAAATATGGGATTATGTGAAAAGACAAAATCTACGTCTAATTGGTGTGCCTGAAAGTGAGGGGGAAAATGAAACCAAGTTGGAAAACACTCTTCAGGATATCATCCAGGAGAACTTCCCCAACCTAGTAAGGCAGGCCAACATTTAAGTTCAGGAAATACAGAGAACGCCACAAAGATACTCCTTGAGAAGAGCAACTCCAAGACACATAATTGTCAGATTCACCAAAGTTGAAATGAAGGAAAAAATCTTAAGGGCAGCCAGAGAGAAAGGTCGGGTTACCCACAAAGGGAAGCGCATCAGACTAACAGCAGATCTCTCGGCAGAAACTCTCCAAGCCAGAAGAGAGTGGGGGCCAATATTCAACATTCTTAAATAAAAGAATTTTCAACCCAGAATTTTATATCCAGCCAAACTAAGTTCCATAAGTGAAGGAGAAATAAAATCCTTTACAGACAAGCAAATGCTTAGAGATTTTGTCACCACCAGGCCAGCCCTACAAGACACCCTGAAGGAAGCACTAAACATGGAAAGGAAAAACCAGTACCAGCCAATGCAAAAACATACCAAAATGTAAAGACCATCAATGCTAGGAAAAAAACTGCATCAACTAACAAGCAAAATAACGAGCTAATATCACAATGACAGGATCAAGTTCACATATAACAATAGTAACCTTAAATGTAAATGGATTAAATGGTCCAATTGAAAGACACAGACTGGCAAATTGGATAAAGAGTTAAGACCCATCAGTTTGCTGTATTCAGGAGACCCATCTCACGTGCAGAGACATACATAGGCTCAAAATAAAGGGATGGAGGAAGATTTACCAAGCAAATAGAGAACAAAAAAAAGCAGAGGTTGCATTCCTAGTCTCTGATAAAACAGACTTTAAACCATCAAAGATCAAAAGAGACAAAGAAGGCCATTACATAATGGTAAAGGGATCAATTCAACA